AAAATAATTGTGTATGCTGACTGAATGTTATCGAGAAATGTCGAAATTAATCACAAACTACCTGTTTCGTTAGTAATGACTACTAGAACTGTTTGCATTGCCATCTAACATTTGCGGGCGGAAACTAAGTTAAGGTCCTAACAGTATTTAATAATGTAAAAATATAATTAAAACTTTAAGAACTAAAACTAAAACTTTAAGAAGTATTATTAAGATATAAAAGACAGTAAAATTATCAAAATTATTTAAAAAATAATCAAAATTTGCAAGAGTAGGAATGCACCAATACCCGGATAATGTCCTTATTGCTAAACTCAGTTGACCCAATATCCGAACATGATAATTAAAATAAAATTACAAGTAAAATCATCATATTTTGATTGATTTTTTTTTTTATTTTTTCATGTCTTCCAAAGCAACATTCACGTCCTTTTGTGTATATGATATTTTTCTTATATTTTTTGGCATACTTATGATCCTATAAAAAAGCCATAATTTATACGGTATTAATGCAGGTAACACTGCGAAGTGTTCGCATGGATGTTCGGAAGTTATATTTTAGAGGCTATATAGGTATAGAGGTTATATGATTAAAATATACACTTTCAAATCACATTGATTGATATGTCAATATTTACTTACTCTTTAAACTTTTGTTGACAATAATTTTAAGTAACTTATAAAAATGTTTGTGACAGCAGTTATTTCTCTTTGTTTGTTGGTACACGCGAGCACATGTGTAACGCGAGTTGCACCGGTAACTGAACGTGTGGCCGGTTACTAGGCAATCATGAAATTACTGTACCAGTAACTAAATTCATAAAATCTAACTATAAATAAGTTTTTTTATTAACTGAATGTATTCTTATAATTATTCTTTACCATTTCCGGATTATATAACGTAATGCTTATGAGATAAAAACAATAAAGTAAATAAAAAATATCTTAACAAATATATCAAACTTCTTAACAAAACGTTAAGAACATCGTGAAAGTATATCCTGATCTAATCATGTTACAGTTTTCTTTTTTATTGGATAATAATTTTTATAATGCTTAAAATAATTCAACATATAAATATTTTTAAATATTGATAGATTTTAATTAAACATTAATATTATACTAAAAAAAGTAATTGAGGTTAATAATAATAATTTTCCGTGTATATATCCGGATGTAGGGACATGTCCGGCTATTGGTACCTTTACCTTATTTATAGCGTCAAAATAAAACAAGAGTCATGATATTCGAGTCATGATACTCGCCATTAACTGATTCTGCAAATTTACCGAATTTGGCAGTTTTAAATAAAATCAACATTTCGACTTGGAAATTGAGACGAACTTCACGCGAGCCATTTACACATTATTACACGTATTATTATTTAGCAATTACCGCATAACAGTATTAGGAATGTTTGCGTAACACATCTAGCCGTTATTGAGAAACCATGTAAAAAGTCCTCATCAGCAATTCACCTTTTCAGCTACACGTTGTTCTCGAAAACTTGACTAATTGGCGACATAAATAGCCGGTCGGTCGAGTCGAACGTTTTTCGCGAAATATGCGTGATGTCGCATACAATGTCACGCGAATATCAGACAGATCGAGACGCGAGATCCATGGGTCCCATGAGACAATACAAAAATATTGATATAGAGTGCAACGCACCCATCTGGCGCCGAACAGTCTGCTCGTATGCTTGTTTACACTTCGAAATTTATTTGACGCAAGGAATGTTTGGTTTAGTCCTTTCCCCTGCATGAGAGATAAACCGCGTGCGAATTTTTTTTTTCTTTTTTTTCTTATTTTCGTTCGCAAAATTTCGCGTTCGCGTTGCGAAGACATTGATCTTTCGCTCGAAAGAGTCAGAGCGCGAAATATAGCAACACTTACGCACGCTCGACGAGCATATCCGATTGTGAAACGTTTATGATTACGCTCGCGAGACTGAGTCATTTAGTTCGCTCACAAAGGCTGAGACATGCGCGACCTACGGGCAACGTGAGTAAATTCCGAATGCAATGTGGGACAAATGCAGCGCGCGTAGCGTCATTAAAGATCGCGCGGGTCGTTAACGCATGCGCCTGACTGAGGTCGTGATCGGCGAATCTCGAAGAATAGCGATCGCGCCATGCAATTCCTGCAAAGCATAATTTTTTATGAAACGTTAAAATGCTTTAACGATATCTTAATAATATAATTACGCAGTAACAGAAAACGTTTCCCGGATATAATTGAGAAAGGGCACAATGTTTCACTTCTTATTTATTCTTATCTTTTACACTGAAAAATTAATATTCTTGTTCTTAGAAAGATCCTCTAAAATAGGTACTACAAGTGTAAAATACTCCAAACATAAGATTTCTTCCTCTTGTTTTCAGAGGAAATTCTCTACACAAGAGATTTATATCTCTGTTTTAAGAGGAAATCCTCTACACAAGGAAAGAATCTCCTCTCAAAATAAGAGGAATAAATCTTATAGAATATTTTATATTTTTTGTTGATGCTTATTTTAGAGAATTTTTCTAAGAATAAGAATATGTTTTTTCAGTACATATTAAACAATTTTTCAGTACATATTAAAACTGTGATTTCGTGAATTTATACAAATAAAATGAGGCATTCCTTACGTGTGATAATCCGAAAGATCGAGTGACAATGAGAACAGGACCTCTGTATATGTCGCGGTATAGTTATTCATTACATAAATCTCTCAAATCACAAACGAAGAATCAAATCGAAATTTTAATCCTACCTTCAATCTCACTATTCAACATCTATTTTGACGCTAAAGAAAGTGAAAAGGGAAATTTTGGACATCAATTTCAAACAGTCAAAGTAGAAGTAAATTGTATCGTTAGAATTAAACTTACTTTGTTAACTTGGTTCCTACTGCATTGTAGAATTCAAAGTTTAACATAGGGCCAAAATTTCAACATGATTTGGAAATACAATGAAACCAGTCTCTCTCTTTTGTGGTATTACTTTTCCTCCCGTTAGATTGCTGTTCTAAATTCATAATCGGCAGAACAAGACGCGTATCATTTATCATTCTTACACGTACAATAACATGCAACACTCATAAATTACTAAGCTGTAGCGCGATAATTTATGAAGTTTCCTTCTCTTTCTCTCGAACTTCTCTTAATTCTGATGCTTTCGGCAACAAGTTAACGAGATTCGTGCACTCAAGAAAATGGTCTTACAATTACACACATAGCGAAAATTATCTAGACACGAGAAATTAGCTAGGTAATTAGTAAACGCTGCAATATCGCACCGTTTTGTATTTTGCGAAAAAGTATAATGTATAATCCTCACGCCCGCCTAAATTTTTCTCGCACAGAGAAAAAGTAGATGAGTTAGTGAGACTCTACGAGTGAGCTTGAACGAACAAAGTTTGTTCAAACAAACGTTTAGTCGATTGAACGAATTATATAATTGCTGTAATAAAT